AAAAAAAATTATATAAGACTTCGCCCCTTATACCCCGCATTTAATGCTTCGGTCCGCTTTGCCCGTACTTCGGCCGTGTTTTATATTAATATATTATACTTTTTAAAAATTTGCTAACTCGGAATAATTATTCTTTCATATTTTATCACTTATTATATTATGCATACAAAATAAACTAGCATATAAATGATTAAAACACTATAAGACATTTCTAAATGTATTATTTTTTCATAAAAAATTTATTTATTACAGTATAAAATATTTTCGATTGCTGATATAACAATATTTTGCGTCTAAAGAATTACAAGTGATAAAAAAGGTTAATTAAATCATACATATGCCTCAATTGATAATGGTTTTTAAAAACTACATATTATAAAATTAACAACTTATATTGACAAAAGGTCAAGAAACTAATATAACACTCTGTTACCATGTTTTATAGAATGGACTAATAAATAAAATTTTATAGGCTTAACCAAATCAACAATTCTTGGAGAAGAGAATATAAACGACTAATCCAGATCATAAAACTATATGGTGGTTTTAGAGCTTCCTCTTAAATGACATGATGGAAGCTAGATAAGTAATTGAGAAAAAAATTGTGAGATATTAAATTTCTAAAAAATTATCTTCCATTTTCAATGATATATAAACAACTACACAGTTGACCATTATTGCTTATAAAATATGCATCATATGCTCTCAGCAGCTGTAATAATAATCTTAAATTACATAGCCACACAAATAATAGAAGCTGGTTAATTTGCAGTCATAGCCATGACACTCACTATATTAACTTATATCAGAATTTATTATGCTAGATAAATTGATAAAACAAAAACACTAAAAATCTTTAGAAGAAATTATGCAAATGTATTAAAGCCTTAAATTATTTACAAGGCAGGGATGCCATAGAAATAAAACATTTTGTAGCTATAAAATAAGAACCTGAGTGATATGATAAAAGAAATTAATTAAGATTTTATATATTATCGCACCACCTCTTGTTGGTATATTATATATTAAAATAGTAGTAGTTTGAAATAATATCAAAAATATACTAGTATTAGAAATTTAACTCAAAACTGTTTTTCATATAAGAAAAAAATAGCTTTCCTAAAAACACGTAAAAAAGAGAAGAAAAGTTATTTAATTTATTACATCCAATCTAGGATAAATAATAAGATGTTAAATTTTTAAAAATATTTATAAATAAATAGATGGCGTTAAATATTTGAGCAATTTGTTACTTATATTTATTACAAAAGCATTTATTAGTAAAATTTATTAAAATATTAATTGTAATAAACTGTTACGTCTGTAAAAGTGGTATTTAACCGAATCTTTTGTAAACAATTATATATAATAGAACTTACTTTTTATAAATAAATCGCTTATACTTATTTGGATTTAGCCTTGAAAATAATTTTAAGAAGAGGCATGGTAATTAAATTTAAATATAAATAATAGTTGATTAGTGATTTTGAACTCGGCTAATTACAATATTAAATTTGTTAATTTTCAATTATATTTATTTAATTAGGGTTATATAATAATTTAAACTTTTTTTTTTTTTTAAGTCCTATATTTTTATTCAATATATAGTTTTCTCACATCAAAAATAAAAATATTATATAAAAACTGTGGTGGGACTACAAGTTCCCAAAAAACATGCGTAATTATATTTTAAAATTATGATTTGTAGGTTTTGTTTTAAGAAATAAAATTCTTTAGGTTCTGATGTAAGGGCTCTTATCTTATCCCCTATATTTTTTAAAAACTTTAAAGTTCCACTTGGCATATGTCCAAGGGAAGAGATAACAATCGGTGTAAAAATATAATTTGTGAATTTGGAATATTTCATTGTTTTTTTTTTCTCGGCTATATCAACCGGATTAGAATTTAAATTTTTTGGGAAAGAAGATACGCATGTGAAGTCCCAAATTAAGGATTTCCCTAAAGACCAAGGCACGGAAGTTAAGCCATCAGGTCTTAAGCCATCATCTAACGATAAATTTGTAGCTCCAGGATGTTTGGTATTCGGGCCCTGGTAAGAGAACGGCTAATAGCTAAATTAATTGCTGCATGCCTTGCCTAGTAGAAAGCCCGTCAAAAATGACGGGGAATAAAATTTTTATTCATTTTTTACGATAGATATCATGCCAGGTTCAAGCTCATAATATTAGGAAGCATCCAAGATCTTATAATTTTAAAAAAGTTTATCAAGCCCAGCTCAACCCTTAAAAATTTGTAAAAGATATTCCCAAGTCAGGTGCAAGCTAATATTAATTTTGAGGTTCCAAACCCAGTTCTACCCATTATAATTTTGAAAATTTTTTCTCGCCTCGGAGATAGTTAAATTTTTAATATCATCACATGAACGGGAAATATCTGATTTACCAATTAGTCTAATATGGAAAAAAAACATATAAATTCCGTATTAAGGGATACTGGGAAGGCCTGGGCAACCACTTATTAGAGAATCATAACAAATAAAATAAATATAACCGACTCTTATACTTTTTTGTAATATGATCAATTAAAATTATATCTAAAAAATATGTTGTTTATTATATAGGGTTATTGTTTTTCAGATAAATTTAATGTATGTCTTGCATTTCTGAAATTATTTGTCAAAGAATTTGATAAGGGATATATATTTTTTTATGTAAAGTAAAATAAAAAATGCTGTCTATTTTTATAAATATGCCATTAAACACTAATGAAACTTATATGCAAATTATTTATATATTTTTAAGATATTTTTTTTTAATGACATACAAATTTAGAATAATTTTTTTTAAAAATAATGAGGATTATTTATTATGTATTTGATAAAATTAAGAGCAAATCCTTGTTGACATTTTAATTTTTGATGGAAAAAGCGACAAAATAAATCTGGGCTGTCGTCTGGAGAGGAAATAATTAATGTATAATTTTATATAATTTAGGGTTGCAGATGAAAGTGATGACGGATTAACAAAGCAGTGTACAAAACACATTACGTCCTGATAAAGATGATATGCCTATGCCTTGGGATACTGGTAAAAGAAGAACGCAAAACGATATTTCTGTCAATGTCAGCATTGGTATCCCCCTCTAAAATAGAATCATGAACGACAATGTTAACTCAACCATAAAACGGTCGTAAGTATTGTTATAAAGGCCACGACAAAACTACTGCATATATTTCCATTAATAAAGTTGATGAAATTGGCCGTACTGTACATTCAAGTTTGAACACGCAAAACGATATTTCTGTCAATGTCACCATTGGTATCCCCTTCTAAAATAGAATCATGAACGACAATGTTAACTCAACCATAAAACGGTCGTAAGTATTGTTTTAAAGGCCACGACAGAATTACTGCATATTTTTCCATTAATAAAGTTGATGAAATTGGCCGTACTGTATATTCAAGTTTGAACATTCCTCTAAATATTCATGTAAGTTTCTCAGAGAATTGGATAAAGTAATATTTATATTAACTCCTAGTGAAGTGAATGATAGTACAGAATTAAATGTTTATATTTGTTAAAAAATAGGCGGAGGCATAGGGATTGTGGTAGTGGTGATAGTATAATTTGGAGAACTGGGTGAAAATAAAATAAACATAGATATAAAACATAAGATAAAAAAAAATAAAAATAAACCTCCAGATGAGTTTATTTCAAGCGTAGTTCTTTATTATTTTGTCTACCAGTAACTCTAGAACGGGTAAGGCATTTGTTTAATCGTCATTATTTTCTTTGCTTATCTTTAATAATAGATTCATCATGTTTTGTAGCAATGTGAGGGATTAGGGTTAGCCTAGACAAATAAAGAAATCTGGCAAAAATATAAATAAACTATTGTTGAAATTAAACAAACATTAAAATAATATAAAACCAGTAGATGGGTCAATATTAGATGCATATTTCTAGTAGTTGGAGGGCTATCATCAAAAAA